GCGTATTTGCAATTTAAAATAGTGTTATCCCCAGGAAATGGATTGCACCAACAGGTGCGTGTGATAGGGATAGGTACAAGGTGGGTTTCCAGCTGGATGGGCAGCTCTGGACTGTGCCATGGGGGCCCATTCTGGCTTTCCTGAGCATCCAGCCCCTTGGTTTTCCTCCTTCCCTAGCTTGGTGTGAGGAGGSACAGTGCTCAGAGAGTTGTTTACTTGTCCTCATACACTTGTGCCTGTGAGAATTAGCCACCCTGACTCCCCACAGAGCCAGTGGGATATTATTATTTTTTTTTTTTTTTTTGGTCCCTGAAATCCTTTGCCAAACTGGAGCTGGCTGCATCAGAAGGAAGAACTTCCCGTGCTCCTCACGGAGCGCCCGGATGCACTCGGCAGCTGGCAAACCACGATGGAAATGGGTGTTTGAGTCCCGCTCGCGGTGGCCTGTGTGGCACATTCCCCTCTTCTTGCTCTCGCCTCACAGAAACTCGGGCATCCCTGGACCTGCCTCCTGAGGCTCCATGTCTKGCACCTTTTTGCAAAGTTATGTTTCACATATAGACCTGTTTATGCTCTGGGACAATCAGTATGGTGGTTGTGCCATAAGAGGTATCGTAGGTAAAGGCAGAGCGATTATAACAGTTGCTCTCCTTAATGCTGAGGAAAGTCACTTTGCCACTTAAYGTCTCTACAGTACAGTGTGTTGCTTAAAGTTGTTAATAAATACTTCTTAGTGAAACCATCTTTTCCTTAACCAGAAATGGTTACTCAGAAGGTTGATGGTTTGGATGGGCTGAAAGAGGAAGGCACAGAGCTGTGGATGGATGGCAAGAAGCTAACTGTTTTGCTTGGCCCGTGTAGGATTTCTCTTGCTTACTTTCTAATACTATAGGCATTCAGAATGAGCACACATCCAAACGCTTTAGGGCCTAATGGCCTTTTTTTTTAAGAGGGGAAAAAAAACCCTATTGAAAAGCGTCCCAAGTTGGGAGCACCTGAGTAACGTGATAGGTGTTTGCGGTGCTGCAAACACGTAGCTCCTTTAGGGGAGTCCGAAGCCTTTGTTGGAGCACAGTGGATATTTTGATTACACGAGGTTACTGAATGCAAAAGCATGTGCAAGACACAAGGTAGCTGCCGTGGGTGGTGGGGAGCGAGTGGGGTGTCCATCCGAGCACTCCGAATCCCCGTGGATGGGGATCCATGGGGTTGGAGCGCRGGCCTGCGAGCACCTGCGTGCCCGGCGGCGGCGCCTATTTTGCCAACAAAGGTTTGTCACCGCTCACCCGTGACAAAGGGAGCATTGAGGGCCGGCCCTTCGCTGCCGCCTGCCTTTATTTTTCCTTCTTTTTTGGGAGGGGGAAGGGGAAAGGGAAGGGGTGTCGGGGAGGGGGCCTAGAGGGGGGGATCCCTGCTGGCCTGGCCTGGCTGACCCGCGGAGTGGCCTCAATGCCATAAATGCGGCTTTATTCTGCCTTGAAAGGCGCAGGGCAGTGCGGCCTAAATGCCTGGGCCTGCTTAAATAGGCGGCGGGGCCGTGCGTTTGAAATGGGAACCTGTGGCCGCGGGGAGTCGCCATGGGGCACCTGCACCAGGACGGGCCTGGACAYGTCGGAACCGACCCGGGGCCGGGCCCAAGGCTCCGCTGTGCTGCCCGGCCTCTTCCACGAGACCGTGGGCTGTAACATGGTGTGAAGGCAGCTCTCGGGAGGCGCGTGGCCCTGCTGCCAGGGGGACAGCTTGGGGCACCATGGCGGCATGCAGAGCGGCGCTCGGGGCCCGCATGCTCGCAGCGCCATGATGGGCAACGCGGCGGCCTTAGCGCCCCAAATCCATCCGGATTAACCCTGTTCGGGCTCAGGATCGGGGTTCGGCGCCGTTCCGCGCCGGCGCTCGCCCCACATGCCGCGGGCAGCTCCTCGGCGGATGGCGGGCCCGGCTTCGGCGCCGCCGCGCTGCCCCCGCGTCGCCACGGGCCCTTTGGAGGAGCCTCTGGCCCCGCAGTCACTGGCCTGCTAGTTAATTGCCACACGGACGTGGTGACACATGGGCAGATAATATGACATTTTCGGTTTCTGTCACTAGCAAGCGCCGCGGCGTTGCTTGCACTAGTTGCTACGAAGCTGTCAGAAACCATTAGCGGCTGGCGAAAGTTGCCCGATGGCATTTCCTCATGGCATCAGCAAAACAAGCATAAATCACCCAGTGGAGCCTGCCGCTATACTAATGAGGCTGTAAGCTTGTTTATGGACTAGCATCATTTCTATGATTATTTCCACCTTTTCGGTTCGCCTTCATTTGGCGGCGGGGGAAGTCAACTTCAGGAACGAAGTCGCCGCTGACATTTTACAAACGCGGCTCGTAGCCGCTACCGTGTGGCTGGGCAGTGGGGCCTCCAGTTTGTTTAGTGATCTTTAAACAGAGGGGAGGAAGGAGGCAGAGGAGGCAGGGAGGAATGAGGGGGGATCCTCTGGAGAGCTCGCCGAGGTGACCGGATCGGGTTGCAAAGTAGATGGAAATACTAAAATCCAGCATTGACCATTTAGGCTCCTCTCAGCGGCTCGACCTTTATGGGATCAATTTCCCCATTTGGAAGAAGTGGATGGGGTTAAACAATTTGGGCGAGTCTGCCGGGGAATTTGCTTTTGGGATAGCGGGAGGCTCCGCGGCCGCCCTCTCCCTTTCGCTCGCTCCCGCTCGTGTCGGCCGGGGCCAGGGTTTATTGTTTTAGGCTTTTCTGAACACGCACCAGTATTTACACTGGATTGAAAGCATTTGCTTCCAATGAAAATCTTGTCTTAGATTACAGCCCAGCAGTGTAATTTCCCTCCCAGATGGGAGTAAAGTAGCAGTATTTGCCTAAAAACAGTAGGAAGAACAAACTGTGCATTAAGCCAAGGCTGTTTTTGGCTTGAGCTAATGATGTAACAGAAACCTTTTATTTGGGATAGGTCACTGCCAGGGATTGAAGGAGGTGATCTGGCTCTCGCTTGAAAGGTTTTGCCATTGTATCTACATAAGTCTTCACTTAAAAAATTCTGTTCCTAATGCTTCTGCTTTCATACAGCAGAAATAAACAGGAAAGGTTCTGGGGAGTGTTACACAAGGAATGCAGAAAGCTTTTCCTCCCCTAATGGAGTATATAATTCAGGTGCCCCGAAGGCATGCTTTCAGGAATTCTTTTGCCTGAGGTAATGGGAAGCTAAGGCTGCTTTAAGGCCTTGATTATCTATTGATGCACAAAGCTGGAAAAAAGTCATCTCCCTTGGATTATAGTAGATATTTCCATAAATTATCAATGAATACTCCTCTCGTCGGGCACCAGGCAATGCCTACTAAATTAATCTGGAGGGGGTTTGAAATGAGGAGAAAGTGTGTTTTTTGAAAACAGGGGTAAAACAATTGCAGGGAGGTGGGGAAAGGCAGTGACATTAGGTTGGAAGCTTTTCATTTTTAATCAATGAATGTGTAATAGTTTTTTCTTTCTTCCCCTCGTTTGCCTCTCGCAGACAGAAAGTGGATTAGCCCGTGGAATTTTAAATGCTGTTGAGTTGTTTCCTTTGCTCATGTTTCTTTTATGAATTATTATTTTATATGGTGAATGGCTTCTCCATATAAAAGCCCTTTTTTTACATACTGAGCTTTCAAAGAATTTATCGGCTATCTGATTTCTTCATAAAAATCTTATTTGTTTGTGTAACTCCTCAAGGTTACTATTTCACTAAGGATGCAGGCCAAGTCATCAGGACAATTATAAATTTGTCACAGTCAGTAAGATGCTAAGAATATGAAGCTAATAAGAACTTCTTTTGGTGATAAAAGCTCTTTAACAAATCATAATTTTGATGGTCTGAATCCCTCAATCTTTTTTTAATTTCCTAACAGAGGTGGTTTTGATTGAGCCCAATTCAGCTGACTTTGTGCTCATTCTTGCTCGGGGTGGAGGGACCCCTTGCCTGGTTGCACCGCAGCTTCTGGTGGCTGCAGACACCGTGTCCTCAGCCGCCAGGCCACCCTGTTCTATCCCCATGCAGAGCTTGACAGCAGAATTGCCACGTTGGCTTCTTCAGAAACCACGTTCTGGGTTGAAAACACAAATTGCACACAGTCTAGTTTTGTTGTGCAGGGCCTGCTAGACTGTTAGCCCCACATGAAACTGGCTGCCATGCACTTGTGTAATCTGATAGATGCCTTGCTAACATGAGGAGACTTTGGGAAATTCTTGGATTTTCTCAGAAATTCAGGCTGGATTTGTTGTTTAACTGGCTGCACCCTGTCTGTGATAGGTGCCTGCCCAGCGCAGGGCATTAATTCCTGCAGCCTGTGTCAAATTGGGAGCTGCTTATCCCAGTGTGGAATTCTGTAGGCCGGGGCTGGGGAGGCCAGGTGGAGCCCTGTGTCCTGGGAAAAGTCACTGCAAGTCGGGCAGCGAGGAAATGTGGAATAGAAGCGGAGCCCCTGGTTGCCCCTGAATTGGTGCGGAGAAGGTCGTATTGCAAGAGCTGCATCTACCCCAGCTCTTCCCATGGGATCCTGGTATCCCAAGGCCCGCCTGTGCTGTGGGCATGAGATATCATCCATGCTTTCCTAGCTTGCTGGGGGAAACTTCATGCTGGAAATGGCCCTGGTGAGGCAAACCCACCTCTTGCACCTTGGCAAGCAGGATGCTGGCAAAACCCTTTTCGTTTGCTTGTCTTTCCCTTTTTTTTTCGTGTTTTGTTTTTTTTAAGCCCTTTTTGTTGAGCAGCTGTGCTGAATCCAGTCCCCGAAGCAGCCTCACTGTCCTGCAGCCTAAACCAGAACCGGGCCGACAGAATTCTATAGACCCTTCCTCTCCCCATGCCTCTCTCCCCCCCRCCACCCCTTCAAACCCTGGTGAATTACGGTGTTAAAGAATTTATACCTCATTTAAATATTGATGCAGTTAATACCCAAAGCCAGGCTTCGGATGAAGTGTCTAAAGGTAGCATAAGTCAAAATTTGATTCACTATATTTACAGGTGACGGCTTGGACAACAGTGTAGCTTCCCCCAGCACAGGTGATGATGATGATCCAGATAAGGACAAAAAGCGACATAAAAAGCGTGGCATCTTTCCCAAAGTAGCCACAAATATCATGAGGGCATGGCTGTTCCAGCATCTAACAGTAAGTGAACTCTAGATCACATATGCAAAATAAAACATGGGAAATGTCATAGTTGTCGTAGCCGCAGAAAGCAGAAGTACATGTTGTGTTAGAGGCAGCTCAGGGGTCTTCCCCGACGGCGGTCGCTGTGTCTCTTGCGAGATGCCAGGGGAGGAGTGTGGAGCGTGTGGTTTATGGTTGGGTTTTGTGTGTGTCTGTGGGTGTTGCTTGGAGAGCTTGGGTTCGGGCTGCGCGTGTTGGAAGGAGCTCGCGGTGAGGAGGGACAAGGTGCTGCTGTGCCGGGTGCCACCGGCCGCAGCAGGCAGCGTTGCTCCCAGCAAAGGGCCCCTCTGCTCCTGGAGAACCCCAGGAATGCCCTGGCGAGGCTGGAAACAAGGCAAAATAAGGCCAAGACCGTCCCGAGAGGTTTGGGGAGATGGTTGGGTGCTTCGCTGTGAGGGTCTCAATGTATCAGCTGTAACAGAGAAGTCTATTTGAGGCTTTCTCATTCCCAGAGGGTTATTACTGTATGGAGCATCATAAAGGAGTGTGTGTGGGGGGGAAGCAGCTATACTTGTTGCCACAGCTACCTGTGTTTATCCCAGGGATTAGAAGCCCTGGGCAGGTACGGGGGTTAAGCTGGATGCGGGAGCTCCTTTAGAGCTTACACGGTGCCCCCCGCTGCTAGCACCAGCACTGAGACAAGTGTTTCTGATGCCAAGCTGCCCGTTCCCCAGGCGGTGGGGATGTGGCCCTGCCTTCCTTTGCCGTGGGGATTTAGGCCTCCGCGGGGATGCTCTGCCTGTCTTGCGTGGTGGCTGTAGCTGCATGTGGTGGTGACCGTCCTGCCCAGAGGGCCAGGGTGAAACAAGAGCCCGGCCGCGATGCCCAGAGCGGTGCCGGGCGCCCTGTGAACCAGAGCAGGTGCCCAGCAAACCGTCCCTGCATCCCGTGCCCAGCCAGGTAACCGGATACCTGGTGTGGCTCTCGCCAGCGCCGGGATTGGGCCGGGAGCTCTGCCCGCCTCGCAGTGCTGGGTTGTTGTGAATGGGCTTCCCTCCTGCATGAGCACTCGTGCTGCCCGTGTGGAGAGGGCCTGGGATTGGGAAAGGCTTCCCGGGCTTGTCCTTGGCTCCGTGTGTAGGGTGCACTTGGATCAGCTGCCCAGGGGCTCTCTTGGAGCTGCCTTCCAAGTGGGCTCCCTGCTGGGACAAGGAGCATCCACCAGGGATGGGACACGTGTAGGGACCACGTGCTTGATGCCCGCCTGCCCCGTTGGGTTTTGCTTTGTGTTGTCCCTGTGTCTGCCTGTTCTGGGTAAATCCGAACTCTGCTGGGATAGACCCTGCTCACTCCTAACTGGGCTCTGATTTGGGAGCCATCTCTTTCCAGAGTGCAAAAAAAAAAAAAAAAAAAAAAAAAATTAAACCTCACAATTATAATATTAATACACATCAATGGCACGGAATTAAGCAAAAAAGACAGTAATTGCTGTGTCTGTCATACTAATGATTAATGGTTGGAATGATTTAAAATGTGTAGGACTGCTGCAAATCTTTTGAAAGGGTATAGGCTACTTTGATTCCTCCTGTGCAAATGGTCCCCATTTGGAGGACTATTAAGGCTTCCTCTATAGTGACTTCACTTCTGAAGGGTTCTCCCTTTAGTTCTTTTTTTCCACTTAGGAGGGAACTCGTTTATTTTATTATTTCTTGAAGAAAAAAATAAAATGGGAGGCCAGAGCAGTTGCTGGCCTGTTTGGGCAATAGTTCCAGCTCAGTGTCGGTCTGCAGACCCTGTAATTTTGATGGATGTGACGAGCGAAGCTGATGCTTGCCTAAAATTCAAGACATAAATTCATTCAGATGGCTTTTTTTCTTCATTTTTTTAATGCATTTTCTTTTCCCCTTAGAATAAGAGCAACCACAGAGTTAAATGGTACCTGAATGAGTGAGCAGAGCTACGCTTAGGGGCTATGGAGTTTGGTGTGTTGCCCTTGCTCTTCCCGCTGCAGTTTTAATGAGTGTCCGTGTCGGAAGAGCCGCCTTGTTTGGCCCATGGTTAAGCCAGGCTGCTGAAACGCTGGGGTCTGAAATCTGTTCCTGGGGAAATGTGGCAAAGCTGAGGTGCAAGCGATGGCCTGTTGCTATTGAATATAGATATTTTTATTCAAAAGTTGAGACAAAAATGAGGCTGATGTTTTTTGGGATGGCATCAAAGGGCATGATGGAGCTCAAGGGATTCCTGTGATCCCTCCATTTCCCTTTTGCTCATTGAGGGCTCTCGTTGCCACCCTGTTTTCCAGGAAGATCCCGGTGTAATGTATAGCCTGCAGAACAGGGAGGGAGCTTGCAGAAGGGGAGGGAAAAACACGTCGCCTGCGATGCGGCCGACGTGAATGGAATTGTTTTCTGCAATGAAAACTGGCCATGATTTCTGCTTCGACCCACATTGTCCTTCTTGTCCTGGCAGTTCCTCCCTCCCTTCCTTAGAACTGCAAGGAAGGAGTTTTGGGGGGAGTCTCCTCAAGTGTTTGGTGCTCTTGTCCACTCATTGTGCAAAGCCTGCCTACTTTAAATCCAGGTTAATTAAAAATGTTGGGATTCAAGGCTCATTTTGGGGATTATGCAGTGTAATTGGTTTGTTATATGATGAGTATTTGATGATCTTCGCGTTCATCATCTAATCAGGCAAAAGCCCCCATAAAGTTATAATCCCAAAAGATGTTTAATAACAATTTAGGCTATTGAAGGCTTTATTTAAGCCCATTAGGGGATTATAAACGTCGTTTTTTTTAATGGTGCCAAGAGGTAGATTCAAGGACTTCAAACACCTTTTAAAAAACAAATTACCATGATTTAAAAAATGAATGGGCCAAGGATTTCTTTCATGTAAATCCTGTAATTTAATCATTATTTTTAACTGCTTTTAAAACAATTTTCTAAAGAGGCTCAATCTTACCCGGACGGGAGGCTGCACAGCGAGTGAAAGACTTGACTGAAACCCCTTGACTTTACGGATTAGAAACGAGTGCTTTTCTTTGCACCGTGTATCTGGGGGCTGAGCCTCAATAGGTCTCCTGATACCACTCAAATGAGCCAGAGAACGTGCAACAAGCAGCATGCGGCCGCTTTATGAAGTTTCATTTGAATGGAATAACTTTCTTATAAGGCAGTGTGTGAGTTTACTGGAGGGGCTGCTTGATAAGGGGATCTAGCTGAGGAGAAGGGTGTGGGTAAGGATGTAGCTCTGTGCTTAAAACAAACGTGGCCTCACGCTGCTGGGCTTGGATTCATTTGGGTCCTGTTATTTTAAAGGCTAGTTCAAGCTCAGGTTGGAGCCTCTTGGGTCTTCTGTGTCCGTGTGGTTTGGGAATGGTGCCCGCTCTGCCCATGTGTGCCCTTTGGCTGTTGTTTGGGAAGGGATATAGGGAGAGGGTGCCGGGGTGCCAAAGGGGTTGCTGAAGACCTGGAAAGAGGAAAGGATGGGCTGAAAAAGGCAGGATTTTCTTTGCTGCCCTCTCCAGACCTTTGGGCAGGTAGGAACTGTATTTCCATATATTAGAATCTTTTTCCTTTTTTTACCCACTATTCCAAGTATTGGGTCTCCTCCTTGCCTTGGTTTTATTGTGGGCAAGGCTGTGAAAATCCCCCTGGGTGCCAGTTGCCCAAATTCCTGGGAAGGCCGCAGGGTTGTGGCCTTCAGAGGTGGCCCCCGTGTCCCCCCGCGAGCTCCTCGGTGGCCACCACCTGCCTGGTGCCACCCAGGGCTCGGGGACACCCAGCGGTCCCTTCTGCTGGCCAGGATGCTGTGGCCATGGGCTCTAACTGGATAAAAGGGGAAATTTCATTAAGGGGGAGGATAATTATGCCGAGGCTCGGTCAGAATTGAATTGGGAGCTCCAGAAAGGAGGACAAACAGGATTTAGGTAACTTGGTTTGAATTAGCTTCTTAACCCTTCCTCCTTCCCGGAGTTTGATGGAGGATGCTGCCTGTCAAAAGCTGGGACATTTTTTTTAATCTTCCTCAGATTTTTTGCTTTGACCTCCTGCCCGGCCTCCAAGGATTGCTCTGTTTTCTAACACAGACAAACTTTGCCGTTTTTCAAGGAAACAGTTTGCTCTCATTTTCCCTTTTTGGGATACCCTCAGCAGTGGCGCTGCCGTTCCACTCCCATGGTTTCTTGGAAAGCACGTGCCTTGCATATGGAAATCTTGCACCATCCTCCAGGTTGTCCGAGTTGCTGCTGAGCTGGGCTGCAAACCTCTGGTCCCAGAGCAGAGAAGAGACCCAGGGGCCACACTGGGCAACTGCTTCTAGGGAACGGGAGTCCTCGCTTTAGCTCTTCCCATGCTCTGGAGTTTGGTGTAGCCAAAGCAGCTGTTTTTACACATTTCTAATGAGGCTGGGAATTCTGTGGCTTTAACCTTTGTGGTACCTTGTCCTGACCTCCTTGTAGGTCTCGGCAATCGCGACGATCCGGGGAAGGATTTTGATGGAAGTCAGCGGCAGGGTCAGGTTTCTGCGAGCACCCCTCTGCCCGCAGGATTATTGTAGGTTTTTGCCCGTTTTCCCCCAATTTCCACCTGGGAGGCACCGTGGAGCTCGCGCAGCAGTCACCAGCACATCAAAGAGCTTGAAATGTTTGGGAGCCTATTAGTGTGTGCACATTAGCATGTACACATGGGAGGAATTTAACCTGGGAGCAGAAGCCAGGGGATACGGACAAGTCAAAACACGATAACCGCTAATTCGGATGCTAAATTACACTTGTTCTGATTGTGCTACAGCTCCGTTGGTTTGCATAACCACGCTCAGAAATGAGTTTAGCAGCAAGGCCCCTTGCAGTAATAAAGGGTTTCAGGTCAGCGTTAGATGCTGTTTTCTTCCCTCCTCACTCTTTTTGAGCTTGTGGCTGGGGTGGCTTGCAGGGCCCCTTCCCCTTTGGAATTAGCCTCCTGGAGAAACACCTCTAGGTGTTTCTGCGGCCAAAGCAGATACTCAAGCCCGAAGTGCTGCAT